CTGAGCGTGCACTCCAGCATAAGTACTATCAATTGGAACTAAAATACTATCTGCCCATCTACTAACAATCTCGGCCACATGAGTAACCTTCCTGCTTACTGTATCTAAAGACCGTTCAAATCTATCCCTACTCCTTCTAGCTGCCCCATTGTGAGCACAAGTCCACACATACAAACCTAAAGTTTCTATGGATCCAGTCTGTTGTGTACCTTTCAATCCATACTCAACTAAAATGTTGTGCAGATGCAGAAAAGCATCGGAGACATACTGTGAGTTTTCTTTGCACCTTTGTTCGTTTTGCGATTGAGTTCCATCCATCGACGCCCGCTCATCTTTGGGAAGGGACGGCTGGGTTCACCATCGAACCGCATTGTCCACCGGCCGCTTTTAACTGCGTGCGAGGAGGACAGCAGCAGCCACTACGTTGTAAGTTGCCGTTCCTTCGCTCGAGGTGTCGCTGATGTCGGAGTCCTCAGGGCTGCTCATCTGCAAGAGCATGATATACAAATTAGGTATGCCTAGTAAACAAAATAGCAGTCCAGAAAGTAGCTCAACCAAGAATACTAACTGTCAATATTGAAAGCAATATTGCCTCTTTAAGGAACTAACATTTGTAACGACCAAGAAGACAAGCCATTGCAAATAAGATGCTCAACAAGGGATGACATTAAGTAAAAGGGTGAACAATAAATTTAGATTTAAGCTGGCCTTATTGAGTCATCGAATCTTCTTTGTAAATTTAAGCACGTTTAAATTGTTGTCGCTCCTCTTCGGTGCATCCCTCACGGCTCCCAATCGGTGGCACATTCTCCTTGTTGCTTGATGGTGACAGGTTCTGTCGAGCTGGGCCGGCTGAGCAAAGACCTTTCACTAGCACAGACTCTGGCGAGAGCATGATATACAAATTAGGTATGGTCGACAAACAAAATAGCGCTTTTGTCTAAGTTGGACACCACAAGCATTGTATTGCTAAGTCAGCAAGTATTGACTAAGTAGTACAATCTAGGTTCAATTGCATGACGTCTTGAATACTAAAAATTATGAACCTGAACAAAAATAAAAGCAGATAATTGAACTTAATTGAGACAATTGTTGAACATAATATGTCTCGAAGAGACGCCCGGTTCATATCTAACACAACTTTGTTCCATAGCTTAGCTTATAACAGATCTAAGACAAGCTCCATTGCAACATGGACAAACACAAAGAAGGCAAATAGAAAAGCAAGGATCTCGAACTCATACCTAAATGTGCTCCCTATCAACCACACCGCCATCGACCTAAAAGGCAATGAAAACAATAAAACTAAACTGAAATACTTTGGATTTGCATAAGAATGGCACTATGAACACAAATACCTTTAGTTTTTCAAAGTGACCACAAGAAATAGATGGGATGGCCTGGAGAAACAAACACCACCGCTACAAACCTGGAAAAGTAGGAGAATGTGAGAAGTCACAATAAGAGAGTTAGCAAGATAACATAAAACTCCAATTAATAGAGTCTTGTCTTGTTACAAGTTGTAGGTGAACCTACAACCAACGCATGTACATCACAGTACACAATTTATTTGATTAGCGAAAAAAACGAGTACACAAAGTTCAGGCCACAACACATCAATACAACTAAGCAAACAATGTCCAGGGAACATTACAATTACAATATAAAACGAAACGAACATAGGGCAAACATACATCCTCAACATGCACAATTCGAACATAAAACTACATAGACTGGCGCAGTAGGAACGTTCGTTGGGATAACGACTACTTGGATCTAGCTCTCAGAACCTCCCAGCAGGCCTCAATCAAGTTCATGCGGCCCTCTTTGGTTTCCATGGCCAGAAAGTTCCTACGGTCAACTGTGTTCTTGAACACAACTAACGCATGAGCAAACGCAGGATCAGACTCGGCGACCCCATCTTGTTTCATAAGTTGCTTCACTTTGGCCATCTCCTCGTGCTTGCTTGACCCCGCCTTCTGCTGCTGCTGGTTCTTAATGAACTGGGTCAGGTCTTCAAGGCACTCTTCAATGGAAACAGTTTTCTTACTGGGGGGGCTGTTGATGGAATGTTCTCTATGGGTTCATTTGGAGGACTGGCCGACACTGTGTGTACCTACAGGTTCCTGGGACATGTCATGTGGACTTGCATTGGTAGGAGTACTCGGTGTCCTCTCGCGTTGATGGCCACCAGCAGCGAGCAGGGTGCCCCTTTCACGGGGGGTGTGTCCCCAAAGAGTGACTAGTAGGTCAAGGCATTTGGGAACTTTGGTCCGCTGCGCAGCCGATTGGCTAGTTTCCTGCACACGTGCCATGGTTCCACAAGTTAGGCCGAATAGAATAGGAGCGTCCGTAGTAATTGGTAGTCAGTGGGTTTGAAAGAAAAAGGTCGAAGGAAGTACCCCGTTGCCATCCTCAAAAAATGAGGGGTCAACTGCGATGCCTCCTGTGATCGGGTCACGGCCCAGGCCAGTGTGGGTTTGAAGGTCACGCCAAGCGAAATATGACAGCTTCAGGTCACTCAACTTGTTCTGAAGCTTCTTCTTGTCATAACCCAACTTTGTTTTGTTTTCGAATTGTGGGTAAAGATTGTTCCACCCGACAGTCGTGAGGCCTCGTTGGCTCCAGTGTAAGAGGTTTTTCTGTTCTATGACTAATTCGAGAAAGATCCTCAAGGTGGCTTCATCCCAGTTAGCACGGTCAGTGGACATCTGTTGGCATTTCGAAATTGTATGGTATGATGATTGCAGCATACAAGCAAATTTGCAGCAATTGTAAGAGTGACAAACAGGGGAGTTAGGTCGTAATACAAGGGGACTTGCCTTGCCAGAAGTCCTCGCGCATTTTGAACGGCGGATGCAGTGCCTGCCTTCAGGAGAGGAGCAGGACGAAGCGGACGACGCTGCCAGTGTGTCGGATCTGGCGAGAAGGCTGCCGAATCCGGTGAACTGACAGGCGGATCCGTTAGCGTCGGGCGGCCTCAGCTGCAATAGGAGCACGTGGGTGTCGATCGATTGGGGGGGGGGGGGGGCGGCGGCGTCGGATCCGCAAGGCGGTCACAGAGAAACCACTGCGCGGGTAAAGGCTAAAGGCCTAACCGCTTCAACCGCGCCGTGCTATGCCGGCCGAAACAAGCGCCAATTCCGTAGCTACCCGGAAAGCGAGGGACGGACCAAGGAACGCATGGCGCGCCACCGGCCACAAAGATTTTCCCCCACGGCCTCAAGAAAACAAGACAACGAAACAAAGGACGGGGACAAGAAGACTCGGGAAAAAGCGAGGATCTTTGGGTTGCTTATCAACACCATGAGCCGATCTAACGTAGAGCGGCGGCAAGGAGGACCAAGAAGCTTGGCGGTGGAGAGGACGCATGGATTTATGAGGATTTTTCGCCTTTTTCTTGCGGTGGAGAAAGGCAAGTCTTGTGGAGAGGAGTGAGGAGAGAGAGGAGGGCTCGGCGGGGACGAAGTGGAGTCCAGTGTGGGAGGTTTCGACGGCGGGGAAGGAACGGAGAACCGGAGCTAACACGGCGGCGACCATGGGCGGAAACCCTAGGCGCTGGGGACGGAGTGAGGAGGAGGACTACGGAGTGAGTGAGTGAGCGACTTCAGACGGAGGATCTTGGCTTTCTGAATTGTTAATTTGGTGGGCCAGCCGAACAGGCCGGGGTGATCGACCAATGAACAATGCCCAACCCAACCCGATCTTGCCCAACCCGAACGGGCCGTGAGCTGCTAGTTTGGTCCACTGGAAATGGTAGTTATTGTAGTTGTTGTGGATGGCTTAATTGATCACCAAATCAGGACATTTTAACATTTGTAGCAAGTCTAATGCATTGTTGCCTCATGAGGGGGTGCTGAATTGTAAGCAGGTAAAATGTGTTATGAGTGTCAGAGATAGGATTTCTTCTGCACCTTGCATAACTCTTGTCATATGGAAAATGTAACTATCATTGTGTTTACCTGAAGAAAAATGAATGCTAATAAAAAAAATATGGAGGTGTATCAGTACATCATTTCAGAAAATGACTGTAAACCAAAGCCTCTGTGCAGCTTTGGCTGTAATCATTCATTGGTTGAACATGCTTTGTTTAGTTCTAAGCTTTTTTATTATTCTTAATCAGTTCTTTTTATATGATATGATTTTTTTTTCTCACGAGTCATGATCAAGATCAATTGATAGATATTCATATTGACCTCTTACTGTCTTGCACTGATGTAATTTAGAGGAGTGGCTTGTACCACCACCAGGCTTACTGGGTATTCTAGATGTAGAATGTAACCATGTTCATCGAGGAACGAAGCTCCGGCTGTTTAAAAAAACATAACACCGCAATCGTTCAGGACCGTTTGCCGTAGTAAAATCCATCCATTTCACCATGCTGCGACGTTAAAACGCAAGGCGACCATGTCCTACCGCTACAGGGACACGTCTCATATGCATCTCGAGCCGTAGGAGAAAACTCAAAAAAAAAAAAACTAGTTACGGGGAGATACAAAACGTGTTTAGGATTCTGAAGGTACCAAAACAAGAAAATCCAATCCTCAATGGGAAAAGTAGTGGATTTTGGGAAAAGAGTCTCCCCTTTATTTGAGGGGCGGGAGTCTATGATTCGAGAAACTGAGAAAAATTTTCTCATTAAAGTTGATTTTGGAGAACTGTTGGAGCTCTAAAATCTTTAAAATAACAGTTTTTTCACGTGCCTGGCATGCTCCAAAACCCCAAGCCTAGCACCTCGCACGGTCGGTCGCACCGAACAGCAGCGACCAAACCAGTTACCCAGCCCACCAAATCCAGGCGTAGTGCCTGTGCGCGCATCCCTCCCCACATGGCGGCATCGGCGGCGCGGCCCCTGGCGCTCCTCGCGTCCGCCTCGGCATCGCTCGGCGACGGGCGGCAGGCGTGGGCTCGCTTGGCTGTCTCTTCCTCTTCGGCGAGGTCGGCGCTCCCCAGTCTCCGCGGGCGCCGCTCGTTCGCCGCCTCCGCTGGGGGACGCCGTGATGGGGAAGCCAGGCCCCGGTCCCGGCGCCGTTGACTCCGACGCCGGGATGGACGCCATCCAGCGGCGGCTCATGTTTGAGGACGAGTGAGTTGTCTCCGGTCCCTCCGTCTCGTCAATTTTGCTAGCAGTGCTCTGCTTGTGGTGGTAGTTTAAGGTGGTGATAACTGATCTCGTCGGCTTGCGCGGTGCCTTGATTGCATCGAATTGTGGCTATTGAAACTATTCCTCTCGTGTATTAGCTAATTACATGAGCTATGATTGTTTCTCCTCTCGGAATCTAGATTACTGTTTCTACAACTACAACTAAGTGGACTGAGAGACTCAGGTTGAGGTTGAAAACCAGTCTGATCGCTTCCATTTTAAATCTGGTGACTGCTGCCAATAAAACAGAAATTTAATTTTTCCCATGCAGGTGCATTTTAGTGGATGAACAAGACAATGTCATCGGCCACGAGTCCAAGTATAACTGTACGTGACTCTGTGTGAATTTATCCATTCCATTCAGTTATGCACGGTTGTGATATTCAAAACAAGACTGTGACATTGGTGCTGACTGTTCTTTTTAGCCGTACTCAGTTTGATAAGCATCACAATTGCCATGTTTGACTTTGACAAGTGCACCATTAGTTCAGCAGGAAGAAAAATGCTTGCAATTGCCCTCTTACATCTAATGTTTGGTGGAACCTCAAGTTACATTAATATTTGATTGTAGTCTCATCGAGAGAATAGAAAGTACTGTTAGGCGTATGTTTGGTCAATGTTCACATGTTCATACTATTCTGTATGAAATGTTGGAGTCTATGATGAATTGTTAAATTCAATGGCCAAACCGCAATTACTGTAAAGCTCTCAACCTCATGGTCTAGAGATATTTCAAATACATGTTCCTTTTAATATCTATAGTACAAAAGCAAATCCCTATGTTAAATGATTAGAACTGGCTAGGCATCTGTCTATACAATATTGATTAATTTTTTAAATAATATCCAACACATTTGCAGCCCGCTTTTTGTGAATTTGGCGTAACACTATTTTCCTGCCAATATAACTCCGGTGGAATTTTCTTGTGCATTCAACACAATAGCATGAGTTGCACCTTAGCATTACTGGGTACAATTTTAGTTTTTAATATGTGAGTGTTGCACACTTATATTGATGACTTGTGACCTTAAACCAGAGTCCTAACAGTGAAGTGTCAGATTTTAGCTGCTATTGCACTTGTTTATTAATCATACTTGATCAATAATTATAGGCCATCTCATGGAGAAGATAGAAGCTGGAAATGCCCTGCATAGGGCTTTCAGTGTTTTCCTTTTCAACTCCAAATATGAGTTGCTACTGCAGGTATTCACACAACACTAAATATGGTTGTCTTGCTTTAAGATGCAATGTAAATTCCACTTCATGTTCCTTGAATCCTTGGCTGCAGTCCTGAGTTCACTTTGTTCGTTTTCCAATCAAGTAGGGTATGCAACCTTTTGCTAATTATGCTTGGAGTAGGCTGTGTGTGTGATTTGGGAAAAAAAAAGAATCGCTGTGTATTCAAAATGGGCTTAGCTACTTGATATGAATTCATGATTTTGGGTTGGGATGCCTCATAAATCAATCCATCTCAATGGTGGTAGAGGAGCTTGCCTTAGATGGGTCGTGATCAAACTGGAGTTTGGGTGTCGTGGCACATATGAGTGCAATGTTTGGCATTTGCATTTATTCAAGCATGATATTATGGATAGGTTCTACTGAAAATTGTGAAAGGGCCTCTAGCTAAGTTGGTTAGGTGGCTTGCTGAGTTTGACTACCCGTGGGAGCGAATTTCAGGCTGGGGCTAGAAAAATCCCCTCGTGAGAAGGTCTTCTTCTTAATGCAATGACCGGGGACTGTCTTACCCCCCCGCAGGACAGTTTTTTTTAGGTTCAACTGAAAATTAGAAACAACCTTAGTTTATGTTTTGATAGTTCTATTTTGAGTGAACCCCCGGATTTGGTTGCTCCATGCTTTAGCTGGTGGATGACAGGTTTTTCTTTGCCAGGGCCTACTTTTTCTGTTTCCTTAAATGGGTGATCCCATTCCTGACATAGAATGGTCATATTGAAGCAATCCCCTCAAAATTATTCTCATTTTATTTTTCTTGAATGCTTCTTGGCTTCTCTTCATATTGAGGGATTGCACGTTATGCAACAATCACTACAGCAATCTTCATAAAAAAGTTCCCTTGCTTGGTCATGATTATTAGTTAGGTTAATAGCAAGGTTTAATTTACAAAGATAACATTACTGAATCACTTTTGCTTTCATGTAATGCCTCACCTAACATGTAAGAGCATGGATCTCTCTGGAAAATTGTTTTGTACTTCTACCAAAGAAAATATTTGTAACATTCTAGGAAGGAATATGATTAGCCATTTTGAATTAAGGTCCTTCTTAAGAGGGTGCAATTTCAATTTTACCACATAAATTTGGTTGAGTAGAACATGTCTTGCTTCGCTCAAGAACTGTCAGCCGGTTTCTGCTGGTGAAATAGTTGCCACCATGAATACTATACTGTCCAATACCAGGCTACTGGCTTTTAGGATTTTGTTCATGAATCTTACATATCTTTCTGCTCTGTACGAGAAATTTACCTTACGTTCAGTTATGTCTCATCATATACGTAAACAGTTTCACACACTGCAAAGCGACAGCTCAGAACAGTGGACATGAGTCATTTGTTGCCGGTTCTTCTGCCTTTGTTGTATGCTACTGCATTGCTATCTCTAAACTAGCTTTGTCTAAATCGAAGAGTATTTCCTAAGCTTGTTTACCACAGAAGATATCGTAACATCATATCCTTTAAAGCAAAGGTCTGCAACAAAAGTGACATTTCCACTTGTCTGGACAAACACCTGCTGTAGCCATCCTCTCTACCGTGAGTCAGAGTTGATTGAGGAAAATTATGCAGGTATATACATGTTGCTTGAAGATTGAGGAACCAATCCATACTGTTACTTGCACTCTACTCGTGACCAGTCACAATCTTTTGTTCTGTTCAGGGGTGAGAAATGCAGCCCAGCGCAAACTATTTGATGAACTGGGAATAGTGGCTGAAGAATTACCTGTTGACCAGTTCATTCTGCTCAGGAGGATGCTTTACAAGGCTCCTTCAGATGGTAAATGGGGCGAACACGAGTGTACATACTTGATTGCCTTGTGCCACTACATGCTGGATTCCCAGTTTTCATACTATTTGTGTTTGCTGTACTCTGCATGTTTCAAGGGACTGTCTTGCAGTTGCAGGCTTTAAAACCTTTCCTATTCTTTGTTGTTTCAGTGGATTACCTCTTGTTCATGGTTCATGACGTGAAGCTCAACCCGAATCCTGAAGAGGTGGCTGACGTCAAATACATGAACCGCGATCAGCTGAAGGAGCTGCTCAGGAAAGCTGATGCCGGGGAAGATGGCGTTAAGCTGTCCCCTTGGTTCAGGCTGGTGGTGGACAACTTCCTGATGGGCTGGTGGGATCATGTCGAGCAAGGGACTCTGCAGGGGTAGCGGACATGAAAACCATACATTAATTGTAAGCCTGTAGTCTCGTAGAGCATAAATTGTAAGCCTGTAGTCTTGCACTCCCTCCGTTTCAAATTATAAGTCACTTTGTTTTCTGTGGTATATCCATTTTGCTATATAAAAGGGGTAGATCCAGTGTCGGAGGCTTCCACATGAGTGGGGTCTGGGGAAGGAAAAAACCGAGGCAAGCCTTCTCCCCGTAAATCTGCAGAGAGGCTGCTTCGAACCCACGACCTGGTGACTCAGTGAGACAGCTCTCACTACTGCACCAGTCCTGCCCTTCGAATCCATTTGGCTATATATCTAGATATAATATTATGTCTAGATATATAGCAAAATTAATGAACCAGAAAAGTCAAAGCGACTTATAATTTGGAACGGAGGGAGTAGATCGCTAAGCACATGTTTTGCTCCGTTGAGAAATAAGCATTTCTGCTGCTGTTTGCGCTGGCTTTGTTATAGCCATCATTTTGATGGAAATAGTAAGTTATAATAGAGTGTTCTTAAATCTGGAACATAACTATTAACATTGAAACCCATCTATGATGTGTAAATTTCTACCAACTGAATGAAAACTGTAGTAATTGGCCAGCAAAAGAAACCTTAACAATCGACATTACTGATGCTAATCTGTGAAACAATTAATTTTGCCCAGCACTATTATGAGAACTTAATCCAAAGCACATCTATGTCTTGTGTCTATTTGTAAATTACATACTATTGCCAATATTGAAAAACTAAAATACCCAGTTACCTAACTACCTATTATAAATTACCCACCACTACTACTATACTACGAAATATTAATCCATAGCCAACAACAGAAGCATCCAAAAATAAATTAACCATCATTGCAGTCATGAAAAAAACCTGAAGCTGCCCCATCTGTATCTTGTATTTTAAATTAACCCATCACTATCATTTAAAAACTAATCTAGAAATACCCCTACATACCTAATTATTATAAATTACCCACCACTGCAATTAGAAAAAAACAACCCATATTATCAACCTCTACAATTATTAAAAGAGAGCCAAATACGGAGCAAAGGAATGCAAAACAATTTATTCAACTTATATGTTCATTGCACATGGTATACATTCAAGAGAATAGAGTTGCAATGCACACGATTGGTTGATGTATGATGTAATAAAAAGTAAGGACATATATTGCTTTGTGTAGAAGGAAAGAAACTTGAGGTAAGGCCTTTTTTTTTCGAACCGAGGAATTCCTCACTTCTATTAATCAGATAACTGAAATACAACAGCTGATTCACTTGAGGTAAGGCTTTATCCGAGAGAATGAGTGATCTATTATGAAGATAGAAAAAAACAAGCATCTACTGAATAAAGTAAACAATGTAACATGACATTTCTCCATATCTATTGGTGCACTCTATAGCAATGCGAGCTGATTGTCATGTTTTTTGGTATATATAAGATGACCTGCAGACTAAGCATATCACAAAAACATTAATAGTGTGAATTGGGAGATTAACTCGCACGCCTAGCCGATGACATGCCCGAGAAGGATGAAACAGAAAAGAAAAAAATCTAGTGAATCGCTATGACAATGACATGCGCGAGAAGGATGAAACAGCAAAGAAAAAAAAATCTAGTACATCACTATGAATGAGAGACGGAATGAAAGAGTGCAACAGCTGATTCACTTGAGGTAAGGCTTTATCCGAGAGAATGAGTGATCTATTATGAAGATAGAAAAAAACAAGCATCTACTGAATAAAGTAAACAATGTAACATGACATTTCTCCATATCTATTGGTGCACTCTATAGCAATGCGAGCTGATTGTCATGTTTTTTGGTATATATAAGATGACCTGCAGACTAAGCATATCACAAAAACATTAATAGTGTGAATTGGGAGATTAACTCGCACGCCTAGCCGATGACATGCCCGAGAAGGATGAAACAGAAAAGAAAAAAATCTAGTGAATCGCTATGACAATGACATGCGCGAGAAGGATGAAACAGCAAAGAAAAAAAAAATCTAGTACATCACTATGAATGAGAGACGGAATGAAAGAGTGAAGCTCAAGGACCTGTTTGTAATCAAAATGGCAAAGGCAACATTTGGACCGGAGGATACATTACATACGTTGCGGCATCAGGCTTACAAACACCCCACACCCCCACACAAACCAAGCCACCAAGGTCAAGAACTCAAGATCGTAGAGTTTGATAGAAGAGGCAACATTACAGATCTACAAACCTCTAAGAGCCCTTAAAGCACCCAACAGTATCCTCGAGGAGATCGATTCCAAGCACCAATGATTCTTTTGGGTTGGAGTTGGAGGTACATATCTAATAGGAAGGAAGTGTAAGGTGGCATGGAATTATGGAAACAGGTTAACAGGTTAACAAAGCTAGGTTGTCTAGGTGTGTTGGACCTCAAGAGGTTCTCAAGAGCTCTACAAGTTCTGAAGAAGTTCTTAGAAATCAGACTTCAAACCATGGGTGGGGATGAAAATACCATGTGGCGAAACTGATCGCTGGTTGTTCAATGTAGCCACAAAAATTACCATCAGAGATGGTACCAAGGCAATATTTTGGCACTCAGCTTGGCTGCCTGACAAGCAGTGGTGGAGCCGGAAACTTGAGTCCTGTCGATCTCCATTGTACAAAAATATTTACTTGAAAATTATAGTATTTTTTTAATACAAAGAAAATTTTCTTTTGAACTTCGCCGAAAACCCGGGTAGTCGGTCGAGGTGACCGGGCGGTGGCTCCGCCACTAACAGCAAATGCTCCAAGGACATAACACTTGTATGGCGTTTTTCCAAGCACCATTCCCTGGCATAGTTTGCAGTCTATTGAGGCATGGTGGCATATCGTGGGCATATGACTCCATGGGCACTGGTTAAGGCGGTGGGGACTGTACTACTCTTAGTCACTTAGGAGGTTTAGAAAGAGCGAAACACAAGGGTTTTTGAATGCTGACAGTCCGTAGAAAGAGCGAAACACTTTGGGGAAAAAAATCAAGGAAGAGGCTGCACTTTGGTGTATGGAAGGTGCAAAGAAACTTGCTGAGGCTGTTAACTTATTTGTATAGTTTGATTTTTTTTTGTCACTTGTAAATAACTTTTGGTTCTCCCGCTTTATCGATATAAATACGACAATTTTTGCTGGTTTTGAAAAAAAAGAAATTGTTGACAATAGAGCTACAACCTCTTGCACCGATAAGAAAACGACTATAAAGGAAATGAGATGATACTACAAGATGAATGATGTTGATGCAGACACATTGAAACATGGTTGCTAAGATTGCGGAGTTAGGAAGGCAAACGTTGCACGGCATAACCGTGCAGTGCAATTGACAACACATGACCCCAATGTTAGATGGTATAGACGTATAGTGCTTATCGATTTGGTTAGTTTAGATCTTGACTTGCAAGTGAAGTAGTTTTCTCTGTTCTTATCCATTGTGATCTTATTTGTTGTATAAGCCACGCTAGGGCTGTTCCATGCTACATAAACACGTAACCGAGCCCTCCAAGAGGCAACTCCTTCCACCCATGCTCACACCCAACCTAAACAAAAGATGCTATTTAAATAATGAGAATTACCATGCGGAGTAGAATCTACATGGAACAAAGCAAAGTGGTGACGGTAGACAGTGTATAAGAATCTACATGGAACAAAGCAAAGTGATAACGGAAATACAACATCTGATTCACCTGAGGTAAGGCTTTATACGAGAGGACGAGTGATCTATTATGAAGATAGAAGAAAAAAAGCATCCACTTGAATAAAATAAACAATGCAACATGACATTTATCCATATCAGCAAATGCTATGTGTACACTCTAGAGCAATTCGAGCTGATTGTCATGTGTTTTTTTTTTGGTATTACTCCTCGTCGGTGTTTCGAGTTGCCACCGACTAGTAAATTTCTAATATTACGCGTCTGACTCGGATGGTGTGCTAAGAGGACACGAGATTTATACTGGTTCGGGTAGAATATCCATACGTCAGTTCGTTGCTGCTGCTCGTGTTACTAGCACTGAAAGTTTGTAGTATGGGTTACAAACGGTCGAGAGAGGGACATGTCCCAAGTCTCTAGTGAGAGGAGCGAACGGGTGCCGAGAGCTCGGTCGCTTCCCGGCTGTGTGCTTGTGTGTTCTGATCGATTCGGGGTTTCATGGGTTCGAGTCCGAATTGATGCGATGTGTTGCGATGCCCCTTATGGGACGCCCTACTTTTCCTTTTATAGGACAAGGAAAAGCACGGGTTATAGTGGAGAGAAAAGAGGAGAATGAGAAGGAGAAGAAGTCCTCTAGGATCGTCGGATCCTTCTTTTCCTTCACGTGGGTCCCGCCGACCCTGTAGACGTCAACAGGGACAACTCCACGTCGCGGCCCTGTCCGTCATTGGCGCCATGTGCAGGCGTCGTCTCCCGGTCGTGGCGCTCCACTCCGTCCTGGCGGAAGTCGTGGTGGACTGACGCGCCTGTCAGTGCTCGTACGAGGGTTAGACAGAACAGCACCGGTACGCTCGACGCTGTTCCTGATGTGAATCCCCAGGTATGGCCCGTCACGGCCACGGGTTATATCTGGGCGTTCCGGTCACCTCCCTGGTGTTAGAGTTTTGACCCAGGTCCATTCGCTTGGACCTAGAGTGGTTGGTGGCGGTATGGGTCTCCGTCGGGCGAGACAGATCCCCCGGCCTCGGGGTCGATCGACGCGGAGTCCCTCCCCAGAGGCCGGGCGAGGTGGGCGCGTAAACCCAAAGGTCGGACGAGGCGAAGCCCGCCCTCATAGGCCGGGCGAGGCGGAGGCGGAGCCAACCCTCAAAGGTCGGGCGAGGCGGAGCCCGCCCCCAAGGGTCGGGCGAGACGGAGCACACGGCCTTGGTGTCGGGCAAGGCGGGGCCCGCCCTCAGAGGCCAGGCGAGGCGGAGCCCGCGGCCTCGGTGTCGGGCGAGGTGGAGCCCGTCCCCAGAGGTCGGGCAAGGCGTAGCCCGCCTT